AGCTAAGATTGCGCCACTGCACTCCAGCCTGGGTGACAAAGCAAGACTCTGTTTCCAAAAAAAAAAAAAAAAGAAAGAAAGGAAAAGAAAAAAAAAAGCTCTTATAGTGTGTAACCTGAGGAAGTTTTCAACTTTTTTTCCGTCTATTATTCCCTTCCCTACTTGTATATTATACTCCCCACCCCCTTTCCTTCTAGGACTCCAGAAAGAAGTAGGATGTTAGACCTGGATTCCTCTATGTCTTTTGTTTGACGTTTCTGTGTCTGTACTTTATGGAACAGTTTTCCAACTAGAGAGAGAGCATCTACTGAATGTTTTCAATTGGATAACACATTTAATTCTAAGAACTCTCATGTGTTCTCAGATTGTTCCTTTTACACAGCATCCTATTGTAATCTCTGGGATGTAATACCACTGTGAAGCTCTCTGGATTTATTACATCAATTTTTAAGATATATTTTATGTCCTGAATTATCTCTTTCCTGAAGAGTCAGAATTTTAGTTCATCTTGGTCTTTTTGTTCATGCTACTTGTTTTCTTCAAATGCCTGGTTATCATCAGATCACGCTGAAGAAGTAGCCTGGGTAGCTTGGGTAGGATTCCTCTGCTAGTATGTCAGCAGGAGTGCTCGCACAGGCCCCTTGCCTGAGTGCAAACCATATGACTGGAGCGCGCAGTCAGGTGGGCTTTTCCTTGGGGTAAGTGGGTGGGAAGGGGGTTGTCAACTTGGGGGTCCTACTATCTACATTAGAAGATTTAGCTCTTCCCAGCATTCTGTTTACTTTTTTGTTGTTTATTGTTGTTTTTAAAGATAATTATTTTTTTTTAAATGTGTCTGGTCACTCTGGTCACAAACATCAGGCTGCATGTATTCTGCACAGAATGAGTAGCCTAGGCATCTGTTCCATGCAGACATTGCTTGGATAGCCCTTATTTGAAATGCTTGGGACCACAAGTGTTTTGGATTTCAGATGTGTTCGATTTTAGAATATCTGCAGATACATAATGAGATATCTTGGGAATAGGACACAAGTCTTCATAAGAAATTCATTTATGTTTCTCATATATCTTATACACATAGCTTGAAGGTAGTTTTAGTCAATATTTTCAATAATTTTATGCATGAAACAGTTTATATTAAGTACTTATGTGTAGAATTTTCCTCCTGTGGCATCTTGTCAGCACTCAAAAGTTTCAGATTTTGGGGCATTCGGGATGAGGAACACTCACTCAACCTGTGCCCTGAATGGATCTACTTGTTTTCAGCTTCCCTGCACCCCCTCTATGCTCTGCCTTACCTGCAGACTCTGAGCCTAGAAGCTCTCCAGCACTGCCTGCACAGGCTGCCTTCCACCTCCACAACAGACCCACATGACTGAGTTTGGGCTGCTGCTTTTTGTGCTCTATCCACTCACATGCTCCCACCACATCCTATCTTCCAGAAAGTTGTTAACATTGTTCTTCCTTTGAGGATCCCCCCTTTTCCTTGCCCATCTACTACTTAACTCTTGGAGTTTATTCATTCTTAAGTTTCCGTACTTTCATTTCAGTGGAGTCTCAGGGAAGACAGGAAGTCATCTCAAATCAGGAGGCAAAACTATCACATAAACTGTGTTTGATGGTCAAGTCAATTTGGGAAACTGAAATTAATTTATTCTTAAGATTTTTGCTTTTCAGAAACTGGTAAACACTATAAAATGCTAAATTCATTAATTATCTAGTTCATAACTTCATTGGTAATTAAAAATTTTAAATTTAAAGTAATTGTGTTAATGAGCAAATATTATTTTACATTTTTAAAATAAAAATAAAGGTAAGAAATATTTCTGGTCTTTAAGTCAAAAGTCAAGGATATTTATGACTTTAAATTTTCTAGAAGCTTTATCTATCTATGAAAGAGCCTTGAATTGCAGTCTCAGGAAAGCCCCCACTTTTTCATAACCCTGGGCAATTTACTCAAAATTTCTAAGCATCATTTTCTGTGATGGGAATTTGCTGGTTGCCCTCCATTCCCCAACCCACGCTGAGAATACTCCCTTTTCTTTTACCAAGAATACCCTGGTTATTCATTAAGGAAATCACCCCTTCTCCCTCAGCTTCAGGAGCAGGCTTTGATTCACTTAACTCAGTGGGATGGAGGCCGGGCGCGGTGGCTCAAGCCTGTAATCCCAGCACTTTGGGAGGCCGAGATGGGCGGATCACAAGGTCAGGAGATCGAGACCATCCTGGCTAACCCAGTGAAACCCCGTCTCTACTAAAAAATACAAAAAACTAGCCGGGCGAGGTGGCGGGCGCCTGTAGTCCCAGCTACTCGGGAGGCTGAGACAGGAGAATGGCGTGAACCCGGGAGGCGGAGCTTGCAGTGAGCTGAGATCGGGCCACTGCACTCCAGCCTGGGCGGCAGAGCGAGACTCTGTCTCAAAAAAAAAAAAAAAAAAAAAAAAAAAAAAAAACTCAGTGGGATGGCTGGCCATGGTGAGGTTCAGAAGTGGGCATGCACACAAATATAAGCCAATGAGATCAGGAAAAACATCTGCAGGACTCCTAGTGAAAGACACTGCTTCTTTATTCTGTGAAATCTTACTGAAAACCTTCTTTTCCCCTGTACTAGGCTATGTGCTAAGAGTAGGTGAGGTCTGGAACTGTTGCAGCCCTTTTGTACCACTAGGTGGTCCAGATGAAGCCTGCACCATGGAAAGCAGAGAGAAGCGACAGAGAAAATAACTACAGAAGCTTAATTTGGGCTATGGTTCAAGGTATCTCTGAAGCTAGATCTACCCTTCTGCCTCAAACATCATAGGTGCTAGCTGAGTGCTTATCATTAAGCAAAACTATACAAACACACACACATACAACCTTTATTGGTAAATTAGTATCAAATATTAACTTGTTTTTATTTTCAAGTTAAAACATCCTCCAAAATAGATGAATTTCTAGTTTATATAATTTGGAAATATAAAAGTTTAATAGGCCGGGCGCAGTGGCTCAAGCCTGTAATCCCAGCACTTTGGGAGGCCGAGGCGGGTGGATCACGAGGTCAGGAGATCGAGACCATCCTGGCTAACATGGTGAAACCCCGTCTCTACTAAAAATACAAAAAACTAGCCGGGCGTGGTGGCGGGCGCCTGTAGTCCCAGCTACTCGGAGGCTGAGGCAGGAGAATGGCGTGAACCTGGGAGGCGGAGCTTGCAGTGAGCCGAGATCAGGCCACTGCACTCCAGCCTGGGTGACACAGCGCGAGACTCCGTCTCAAAAAAAAAAAAAAAAAAAAAAAGTTTAATAGAAAACTCTTTATTTGGCATAGACATTTTATTGAGATGAAAACCAATTTTCTTCCACTCATATAGAAAGATATTGTTATACTTAATTCTACTTTTACAGGGGATCGATTTCCTCATTCATTAAACCTCAGGGAGTTTTCCTGGGGTATATTATTTAAGGGGAAAGAGATAAGAAAACATAACAATAGCTACTTGATTTCTTATTCAATAAACAGAAAATGATTCTAGGAAATAAAATTAAGGTTCACTGTTCATCATACTTCAAATTACTCAAATTACTCAACTTCAAATTACTCAAATGCCAAATATAACTTCTAATGTCTCCCTGATTAATTCTAGATTTTGATTCTAAGATGCTATATGTACTTAGATATTCAGCTAGGGTTTTTCATTTTTGTTTTAGAATTTGTTTCTAATCAAATCATTTGAAAATTTAAGTAGGAAAATAATAATGGTTCAGAAATGTACTTAAAAAATTAAAACTCACTTATGTAACCTTCATACTATTGTTTTTAATCTCCAGGCAAGTAACACTAAATAGACTTTGCTGTAATTGCTCAACTGTTAGACTCTGCAAAAATGATCACATGGAAATCTCTAGACTGGCAGAAGTTTTTGAAGGTAAATTCACTGATTAGAACCTATCCACAAATTATTTATACTGTGGCAATTCCACATTACTTTGAATAATACGCTTGTTTTTTTCTCCTTAAGATCTGAAATTTCTATTTGAAAATAAAGTGGCTTTTTCAAATACAAAGTAAAATATTTTTAAGAAACCTATACTCAAAAATACACGCTAGGAAAATTTCCTAATCCCTACTTCTCTGCCAAAATAGTTCTTTTAAACTAAAATTACTTAAATTGAATAGAGATGCTAAAATGTAAAAGAAAATATTTATTTATAAATTGTATCTTGAAGACTAATATGATGTTTATTTTCAAATTGAAGAAACAGCCAAATAAATGCTAACTGTAGGCTTTTTTGCCTCTCATTTTCATTAGTTCTATTTCCTTCATTAATTTCATTTCATTGGTGACCAGCAAAAGAATAAAAAAGAGTTTTAAAAGTACAGATGCCAAAACAGGTTGGGTTTCCTTTTTTTAAAATCTCAGATAGAACAAAATTAATTTTGAAAATAGGTAATTTGACCTTTCTTGTTTTTAAGTTAGCCTCTTACTTAAATATAGCACAGAAAATGAAAGCATATGCATAGTTTTTGCTATTCAAGTTATTGATTTAAAAAATCATCTATCTACTTATCCAGGGAGTTGGGGGATGATAGTCAACTAGGCTGTAATAGTTTATGATTATAAGGTCTTTTCCTTTACCTATTAGAGTCTTATGTAAAGCTGTATGTCAAAGTTGAAAAATTTCTCCTGACTTAGAAAAATCCACAACACATGAAGAAAGGAGCCCATATTGGATGTTAGGAAACTAAAATTCCAGTCCCAACTCTTTAATATATTGCAGGAATTGGGGCAAAATTTTTTTTTTTTTTTTTTTTTTTTGAGACAGAGTCTCGCTCTGTCGCCCAGGCTGGAGTGCAGTGGCGCGATCCTGGCTCACTGAAAGCTCCGCCTCCTGGGTTCACGCCATTCTCCTGCCTCAGCCTCCCGAGTAGCTGGGACTACAGGCGCCCGCCACCGCGCCCGGCTCATTTTTTGTATTTTTAGTAGAGACGGGGTTTCACCGTGGTCTCGATCTCCTGACCTTGTGATCCGCCCGCCTCAGCCTCCCAAAGTGCTGGGATTACAGGCGTGAGCCACCGCGCCCGGCTAGGGGCAAAATTTTTAATTCCACTGGACCTCAGTTTGTCCATGTCTAAAATAAAAGAGCAGTGTGGAATCACCTTAGGAAATGTGTGGGGTTGTACTCAACCATAGTCCAGAATGTACTAGTTGCCCCTTGGATGGCAGGAAGAGTTGTTTTCTCTGACCCTCTCAAGAGCTGATCTGCCTGTTTTATGGGTGGGAAATTGACGCCAGAGGGATGACTGTGAAATAGCTGAAGGGCTGGACTATGTAATATCTAAGTTTCCTGTGCACTTAAGATGCTATGGCTTGGAGGTATTAATACATTTTTAGGCTCATGGGCCAGATCAGGACCATACTACTGGCCCTTACCAAGATGGGTTAGTGGCAGGATGGTACCTGATGAGAAAGTGCTGGTGGCACCCACTCCCTGGGTTTCAGACTGGTCCTGAGCATGCATGGATTCTAGCTGGTGTCATGTAAGCAAGCAAAAGAAACAGTAATACTGTCTTACTTCTAAAGAGACGTGAAATGATCAAGATATGACAGCTAGGCTAGGATTTGCATTTAATTTAAGATTAATAAAGTGTTCAGGCTTATCTTTGCAACTTCCATCTAGCTCCCATTGCCTGCAAGTAGAATCAAGTGGAAAAGAAAGCTCCCTTGAACTCCTGGAGGAATTAAGTGACAACAAATTGACTATTAAATGCACAACAGGAAGCAAGGGCCCTCTGAGCCCTTCGACCACATCTTTCAAACCTTATTTCTGAGAATAGAAAATTCTAAGCTCAATTTGAGTGTCACTATAAACTCCTCTCTGTGCCAGATGATTTTATGCACATACTTACATCCGAAGTACAAACAACCTAAAATGTTTATACTGAGTAGTAATGGAAATCATGTGTCAAATACAATGAGGGGAACAGAGTAGAACTTTCTTCAGAACTAAAGTTTGAAGATATATAGCATCATGGAAAATCTGGCTTACAAATAAGAATGCATTGTTTACCTATTCCATTTAATTATAGAGAACATGCATTTTTACTCTTTGCATACAATTTTCTGAAGTCTGATTTTTTTTTTTTTGGTTTGTTTTTTGCTCTGCAGTGTTGCCTGAAGCTATGGAAGGATCATAGCTCCTCATACACAGTCTCAAAAACCATGGCCACACACATTCTTGTGATGTTAATTCCTATTTCCTTTAAGCTCTCACCCCCAGAGAGAGACAGTGAAGGATTCTTCTAACAAGTCCAAAAGCAAAAGAGCAAACAGTAAAGACAGCCCTCCTTAGATGTCCTCAGGGGCCTTCTGCATGTCAGCTTTCCTATTAGAGCACTGTAAAGACCAGGAAAACTACAAGGGCCAGGAACGGAATTCTGGCATCTTTCTACTGAGAGATAGTCCTCTGAATTTCTCACTAAGCGCAAGCCTGAGGAGTCGGCCTCCCCTCAGCTTCTCATCACCAGTGATTCAGGGACAGCCATTCATAGAGCTCTGTAGAAGAAACGGCACACTAGCTCCACAGTTCTCAGTTTCCCTCCTCAACAGAATCCACCCTAGGGTTAATGCTTAAAGGGCCATGAAGATATCAAAGGGAGAACACAGTCAGGGCTGCTCATTTGTTTGATGTAACGTGTCTTAGATGGGTCAATCATTAATTCACAGCTCTTAGGTGGGAGTCCAGCTCTTTTGTTTCAAAGAGCCAAGATTCCCCTGCCCCCAGTCATGTTCACTCCATCATTCTCATGTGTCGCTTCTCCAGTGGACTCTGGTGCCAGGGAAGAACCCTATCACTGGCCCTTATCAAGATGGGTTAGTGGCAGGATGGCACCTACCGCCTCACCAAGAAGGGTTAGTGGCAGGATGGTACCGGCTGACCTCAGGGCCTGCCCACCCCAGCTCCTGCCCTGCACAGTGTTCTTTGGACTTAATGATGACTACACTGAGTACTCACCTGGGGCCGCTATTTCTTTTTGTTTTAAAACTCAGAGAAGCTGATACTGCTCTACCTTCTCCTTTTGCTTCTTCTGTCACTTGGTAGAGAGATGGTCTTTGTCCTATCTCACTTAGGCAGTTCTGCTTGCTCCTCTCAGCTGCAGAAAAGAGTGTCCCAGTGCATTCTTTCTAAATGGACATTCCAATTTTCAAAGAGGTTGGCACTTCATCATTGGCAATTTTTATACATTCCTTTTCAATTTGATTCCAAAGATATACTAGCCAGGCCCACTGTGAGTTCAGTTTCTCTCACTACCCCAATCAGCCCCACAAAACTCAAAACATAAAGGCTGGGATTGCTATAAAGAAGCAAAAAAATTCTTGGAGGAAAAGCAAAAAGCAAAAAACAAAATAATTTGTAGAGTTGAATTAAAAAACAGATCCTCTCCTCAACAGTTTTCACCTTTTTATTAAAATTTCACTTCCCCAATGAATAGAGCCAATTTTAAATAGAACCCTAATTAAAGCTACAAGAACCAACCAACAACGTATCTGTAATTTTCCTTTAATTTAGACTCTTTGCCTGCTTAATATATTTCGCATTGCACCCACATGTCCTGAGAAAAAATGGTGAGACATATGATTATTTATGTTATATAAAATGGAGGATCTAAACATATCTTACCTGTAAGTATGTTTCCAAGCCTTGTCGTCGCTGTTCCAAGACTTTGGGGACCCAGTTCCTAACATGTTTAGAAGGGATTTCTGGAGTTTTTATACATTTCTTAAGCTATAAACACAGAACAGAAAAAGAAAAAGAAAAAAAAAATGAGATGTCTGTTAATTATAGTGACATTATTTGCAGAAAAAAAGGCCAATAAAAGAAAGTGAACTACCGCTATCTGCAATAAAAAATAGAGGAAAATATAATTACACTGCAATTTTGTCAAACGATTCTTTATTTAGGTATCTTGACTTCAGTTTTCAGAATAATGGTTTTCTGTATTGGTAGGTATTATTGTAGACATTTCAGATTGAAATCCTTTTTCCTGAAAAATTAAAAAACCTAGTAAATGAATAAAAAAGAAAGTGAAGAAATTTAGTTACAAAAATCAATTAATACAACAAAATTCTGCTTGGATGAAGGACTTTCCTGATAAAAGGTCTTTCTACATATTTTTCATATAAAGAAATCAAAACAAAATGCAACTGTATATAAGTATTGTCCCTAGAAATGCCATTAACTAGACCACATTATTTGGAGAGAGAACTTAAAAACATAAAGCCCTAATCTTTTCAATGTTCCTAACAATTACTTTCCAACTCCATTCATGAAAACTGAATGATAGTTCTCAGCTAAGCCTTTTGGGACAGCAGTTTTAGGGGATAATATAAATAAATAAAAATTCTGTTGGAAGTTGCATTAGAGCTGTCTGTGGTAGGCAGAATAATCCTCCTTCCCCCAAAATAATCAAATCCTAATCCTGCAGATGTTACCCTATATGCCAAAAGGGACTTTGAAGATTTGGTTAAATTCATGGTCTTAAAATGGGAAGATCCTCCTGGATTACTGGGGTGAGCTCAATGTAATCACAAGGATCCTTATAAAAGGGAGGCAGCAGAATGAGGTGGAAAGAGACTGGGAGAAACAATGTCTCTGGCTCTGATGATGGAGAAAGAGGCCATAAGCCAAGGTGACCTCTAGAAGCTGGAAAGAATGGATTCTGCCCTAGAGCCTCCAGAAGAAATGTCATCCTGCTGACACCTTGATTTTAGCCCAGTGAAACCCACTTCGGACTCCTCACATCAAGAAGTGTAAGACAACACATGTATATTGTTTTAAGCCACTGCATTTATGGTAATTTGTTATAGCAGCAATAGGAAACTAATACATTGCCTCCATAAGTGGAACGTGCTTAATTGCTAATTAAAAATTTGAAAAAACCTACCAATGTTGCTTCTTTACTACACATGCACAGAAACAGCATAGTAATGAATAAGAAAATTCATAAATTAAACCTGGGCAGCTAAACTATAGTAAAAAACTCTTTCCATATGTAAGAGTATATTCACCCTTAACCAATCTAGGCTGAAATTTGTTGTACTTCATGAAGAAGGGGCCCATGTACTAGCTAGAGCAGAGTGGCCACCTTTGCCTCTGAGGTAGAAGTCTTGTACCGAGAATGGTAAAGCAGCAAGAGCCTGGGTCCCTGACGATCATGAAACCGCCACACCAGCACCAGACGTTTATGAAGGGAGGGATCAAGTTGTATCTGTTAATGTCACCATTATTTTGGTTTTAGAGTCACTTACAGTCAAATCTAATCCTACATGAATAAGGATGTGGCTAGCACTGCTAGCTGCTTAGCAAATATTCATTCCCTCCTTCTTTTTTGGGGGGAAAAAAGTCAACGTCATTCAGAGGGCTAACACGCTGAATTATAAATTGATTTTCCAAGTTCCCTTTTAATTAGGGTGACCATGTGACAGTTACCAATATACGTACATGTCTACAGGGGTAGGGTTCTTGTTTCCCTAACAAAAAGCAACAGGTTTTCTTGCCAGAAAATGCAGAAGCCATGCCTGGAAGGGTAGGAGCTATGTTGTCACCAGAAGTGTGAAAGTCACATGCTAAGATGACATTGAAGCAGGGAGACATGAGGAGCCTGGAACATGAATGTTTTGAGATGCCTGCATCACCTGGGCTGCCTGTTTTTAGTTTTCCTGTAATGTGAGAATAATAAATCTCTTACTTAAGAAATCTAATCAAGTTTCTATTACATGCAGTCAAAGACATTCCTAATATAAAGGAATCACTTGTTCTATTTTAAGTCAGAGATGCTCAATAGGCATCCAAGTAGAGATGCTGGGTAGGTAGCTGGGTACAAGTCTGTAAATGTGGAGGTCAGAATATATAGGTATTTAGAGCCATGGAACTAGAGGAGATGACATTAAGAGTTAGGTACCGATGGAGAAAAAGGGCTGTGGTAGACAGAATCCTAAAATGGTCCCCTGGTGTAAATGCCTTGTATGATCCCCTCCTCTTGACCATGAGTGGGACCTGTGACTATGTCAGGGCAGTCACTCCATGATTACATTGTGTATTATATGATGGTCCTAGCAGACTGCTGGCTTTCAAGTAAGGTATCATGTGATGAGAGAGCCACATGGCTAGGACCTGAGGGTGGTCTTTAGGAGCTGAGAGCTGCCTCTGGTGTTCAGCCAGCAAGAAAAAAAAAGGGACCTCAGTTCTGCAACTGCAAGCCACTGAATTCTGCCTGAATGAGCTTGGAAGAGCGCCCCAAGCCTCAGGTGAGATGGAGAAGCAGGGAGGAGAAGCAGGACAATCACTGGGGGAAGACAGGGAGTAGGTTCCATCAGGAAAGCGTTTCAAGAGGAGAGGCATGATCAGGCTGTGCCAGATGATGGGAAGTCAGTAACGCGGGGTACAGAGAGAAGGGCAGTGGGGAAGTAGCAGCTCCTCTTCTAAGGAGTTCTACTAAAAGACAAGGAAGGAGTACAATGGGATGAGCACACGAGGGAAGCATGGGGCCAAAGGCAGGCTTTATTTTGTGAAACAGAAACTACTGCGATAGGTTCATATAGTGATAAGACTGATTCAGTATTGAGGGGGAAACTGATAATGCAAGGCAGAGAGGAGGAGGGGGATTTATAATTGCTTGCAGGGGAATAAATACATATTTAAACTCTATACCGTCTGAGGCATTTCTCCACAAGAACAAGGCCAAAATGCTAAATTATTCTGTGGTAATAAGCTTAAGTTTCACTTTAAACATAAAGAAACTTCCTTTAAAACTATTGAATCATAACATATATTTCAGAATAGAAAATCAACTCCATTATACGTCTCTCCTTTTAAAAAGAATGTTGAAGATCTAGCACTGAAAATATTTTTCCTTTTTTATTTATGTCAGGAATACTCAGGAAGCGGATCATCACAGCTGCTGGGATCCATGACAGCATTCGTAGGTGAGTAATGAATTGCTTTAGATGAGAGACAAACCCGAGACAATATGTTTCCAGTAGGGCTCAGCTGCTTATAAGATAAATACTCCTCTGCCACTTCACCCGATGATTAACGGTCCTGGCCCTGCTGTGTCCAGGCAAACTGCCTTTCTGATTCAAGCAGATAAGTACCAGATTCTATGATACCAGAGACACAATCCCCTTTTCCTGGTGTGACCACTCCCTTTTCCTTTTTCATACTGCTAGAAGATTTTACACAGAACTTACTCCACACAGACCTACCACTGCATACATTGGTTATAGTAACCATTTTCCACAAAGAAGCAGAAATACTTTTCCCAAGTACATGAATAAAAAGAATGAAAAAGAAAAGAAAAGTTAAAGAAGCGAGAAACATTTGGGGATAAAATCTCATCTTTCCCCCTGTATTGCCACCGCTACTTCCTCAGGGTTCCGTTTGGAGAGAATGTACAGGGTGCTGTGCTACTGGTTTGACCCTACATGGCAGGTTTTTGGTTCTTTATCGTCTACTTCATGAAATTACACACAGGAGAATGAAGTCTTTTACTCAAGCCAAAAGTAGTCAATAATAAAAAATGAAGATAGTTAATTTTAAAATGAACCAGCACCACATTTCACTGAAACCATTGTGAATAAAAGAATGGGCTGCAACTGACAGAAAACAGCTGGGAAGGCATGAAAATAAAATGTGCTTAACAGTTTGCCATGCTGAAAAGGTTTTTCTGCCCATACATGCAATTTTTGGCCTAGGGAGGTAAAGCTCTTTTCAGGAACCACCATTTAAAATAGTAAAGTGTTTGGCCGTAGTGGGATGTGGACAGGTGTAGCCGAGGCACACGCGAAAGCACGCATAAGCTTGAAGGTTCACCCTGTCACAGGAGTCTGTGCCTGGCATAACAAAGAAGGCTAGGATGGGGTTTTGTTTTTGTTTTGGTGTGGTCGTGTTCTTCCCACCTAGTACTAGCAGAGGAGCTACAAAGGCATCAGGGCAAGCAGAACCTGGGGTTAACAGAGAACGCAAACTCCCGCAGTAGAAACTGATCCTCTAGTAATTCATAAATATACATGATGCTATCCAAATATGCCATTTGCCAAATACTTATTTAATACCTAATAAGTGCCCGAGACTCTACTAGACACTCTAACAGTGTGAAAGATATGAAAGATAGGACATGGTCCCTACTTTTAAAAAAGTACCTTCTAATTAGACAAAATTTAGGGATAACAGTTTTATCTCATATGTTTCCAAAATTTAAGCAGAAATCTCTATTCTAAATGGACAGGAGTTCTAAGAACAGAGATTAGGGAAGAAAGGGAGCTAACATGGAAAAAGGAGAACCTGAAATGTCTTGGTTTGAACAGATCAGAACACAGAGGAAAAGACATTCAGCATGGCAAAGACAGGTGGGTAGCCATTTTTACCTCACATAATGAGGTAATGGGAGATACTGGCTCAGCTGTCCCTGAAGGGCTCTTAGGAGGAGTGAAAAATAAAGTCGGCCAGTAAAGGGGTTAGCAGTAGACAGAATAATGGTTCCCTCAAAGATGTCCAAGTCCTAATCCCCAGAATCTGTGAATGTATTTGCTTACATGGGAAAGGGGACTTTGCAGATGTAATTAAATTAAGGACTTTGAAAAGAGGGGATTATCTGTGCGGGCTCAATATTATCATAAGAGGGAAGCACAAGGAAAAGGGGATTGAGTCTGTGGTGTCATAGAAGCTGGTACTTATCAGGATGAATCAGAAAGTCTGTTTACACAAGGTGTCAAGTCAGAAGAGAGGTGATGACAGGAGACATTATGATGGACACAGAAGCTGAAGTGGAGTGACTGCTGGCTTTGAAGATGAAAGAGGCCACAAGACAAGGAATGTTGGAAAAGACAAGGAAACAGATTCTGTTCTAGAACCCACAGAAGACTCAGCTACCATCAGGTAATAAATCTGAAGGCTGGATGTGGTAGCTTACACCTGTAATCCCAATACTTTGGGAGGCCAAGGCGGGCGGATCACCTGAGGTCAGTTGAGACCAGCCTGGCCAACATGGTAAAACCCTGTCTCTACTAAAAATACAAAAAAGTAGCCGAGCGTGGTGGTGCATGCCTGTAGTCTTAGCTACTCAGGAGGCTGGGGCAGAAGAATCGTTTGAACCTGGGAAACGGAGGTTGCAGTGAGCTTAGATCGTGCCACTGCACTCCAGACTGGGTGACAGAGACTCTGTCTCAAATAATAATAAAAAATAAATTTTAAACCACTGCATTTTTGGTGATTTGTTAACAGCAGCAATAGGAAACTCATACAAGGTTTAAGATTATTGGCCTTGAGGGTCAATGTCTATGATGTGGTAGACAACAGAGACTGTTTCAGTGCATTCGAGTAAGAGAATGAAGATAAAAATGGTGTTTTAGGAAAACTGGTCTGCAGCAGAGAATAGATAAGGATCTGAAATGGTTAAAGTAATACTGATATAAAGTAGTAAGACTCTGGACTGGGATGGTAGGAATAGAAAATGAAAAATTAGTCTGGGCGCAGCGGCTCATGCCTGTAATTCTAGCACTTTGGGAGGCAGAGGTGGGTGGATCACCTGAAGTCAGGAGTTCGAAACCAGCCTGGCCAACATGGCGAAACACTGTCTCTACTAAAAATACAAAAATTAGCCAGGTGTGGTGGCAGGCGCCTGTAATCCCAGCTACTGGGGAGGCTGAGGCAGGAGAATTGCTTGAACCTGGGAGGTGGAGGTTGAGGTGAGCTGAGATTGAGCCACTTCATTCCAGCCTGGGCAAAAGAGCAAGACTCCTTCTCAAAAAAAAGGAAAAATAAAATGAAAAATTAAGTAGTGTGTATTGTAAGAATTTGGAAGATAATGCAAGGTAACAGAAAAGTAAGCACACACTTGAAGCTTTAAAACCTTGAGATGTGTGGTTCTAAGCTTTGTGACTTCAGTGTATGTGATGGAGGTAGGTTAGGAAGGGTTGTGTCTAAGTGATAATTACACTATAGGAATTCTCAAACTTCAACAGGCATTAATCATCTGGGGTACTGCAGATTATTGGGCTCCATCACAAAAATTCTAATTCAGTATATCTAGGGTATTGTCCAACAATTTTCCCTTAGATAATTCAAAGTTCACATTTTGAAAAATACCAACTAAAAGAAAAACTAAAAGAAAATAGAATCAAATAATCATCATAGCACATGAAGAAATGACTAATTTTAAGATAGAATCTGAAAGGGTAAAAACAGACATATTAGTAAACATAAAAATTTAAAAGTTGCATACATTTAAAATAAATGTCATAACCAAAATTAAAAGGCCCTTGTGAAAAAATGCTTTCAGTAAATGGCTAATATTGTATTAATAGGCCACACAAACTAATAAGCAAAAACAACTGAGACACTAGCAGATAAATGAGAAAGCACATAAATAGCCAATTCTATTGAAAGAGGGACTACAACTCCTAAGCAAACCTAAGAAACACCTATTAAAACAAGGCAACATACATGCTTGCTAATAAATCTAATTTTTGGAGGTGTAATATAGTTAAATATTTCAAGAGAATTAAGTAACAACAGATTCAACTACATTTAAAGGGAAAATATTTTATGTTAAACTTTAGCATTCAAAGCATGTCACGAGATTCAAATATGGAAATTGAGGGTACCAAAACTGCAATAAAAGGGCAAGGTTGCACGATGTGGCAGCAGCAGTCAGTCAAGCCCGAGTACTCTGATTAAATTTTTTACTCATTTCAACCCTTCTTAGCACACAATCTTACAGTCAAAATAACAGATTTATGTTTAGTTTTATACCCCATCGTTATTTGTATTTCATGGCTTTTTAGAGTTACCTTTTTGCCAAATCTAATACAATCACAAGGGGGCACGTAAAGGAGACTTTTAGCAGCTGCTATCCCCTTGATAATACACAACATTAGACAGTGTATCCCAACTAAAACTCTGCTCCACAAAGCTATTTTTATCTCTATGTCTCTGTAAAGTTGTCTCAAATATTTTAACAAGGCTGCTAACAATATTCAAAATTGAGAGATTTGAGAATTTCTATTCTATGAATGCTAGTAGACCTAACTATATAAGAATAGATAAAATTATTAATAGAACTGCAGAAACTGAGAGGAGAGAGAATCCTGGAAAATCTAGGAATGTTTTTGACCATGAATAGCTAAGAACTGTCTATACTCACTGGGGAGAGGGTCCTCCTCTGCAGAAGAAAATAAACTCTATTAGAGCAGAGAACAGGGTGAACAAGGCTCTCTTCCAGAAGCATGGGCAGCCTCGTGCTCCGGGCAGGCCTAATTGGCAGTCACCCAGCTGTGCCTGGTGTGGAGCTGGTCCCTGAGTATCTGGAGAGTACAGCTGGGCTGTGCTAGGGTCATGGAGTCCTAGGTGCTGACTTGGAAGGTTAGCAAGGGGCCTGCATGTGACAGGCTGCCTCCTCTAGACTGGTCAACAGAGGCTTGGCAAGGCAGGGGGTGCTGGTTTTAATCCCACAGCAGGGACTTATTTCATCAGGTACCCAGAAGAAACCTCACTAGGATCTGTTTCCTCCCAAAACACACACAAAAAAACAGAATTCCCTGGGAAGGAAGTGAGCCCCAGACTCCAGATTTGTTTCTCTTTGGAGCACCCTGGGGTTGGTGCCTTTGTAAAGTCACTGGCAACACCTGGTCTAAATCTGTGTTCACCTGTACTGTTTCTTTTCCAAGTCAAACTGGATTGAACAAAGTGCTAACTGGAGAACTAGATGTGGATTATCCCCTGCCGTCCTAACAGAAAAGTGTACTGATCTTAGAGCTCCCCTTTAAAAGAAAAGAGAAGGAAACAGTCTCACTAATCTCTCACTAATATCCGGTTAACGTTTATACGTTTATCCTGTTAACGGGATTTTTCTGGGCAATTTCATGAGGTATTTGTAGAGATGAAAATAATTTCAGCACACCAATAATAATTTATAACCTAGAAAAAATTAAATTTAGGTAGAAAATAAAGAAGCATTTACTCTTCTATGCTTTAATAACCGTTTCTCCAAGCTCTTTCTTTTGCTTTTCTGTTTCGTTCATCTAAGACTTTTAAAGAAGTGTATCCTAATGCCGAAACATCAGTTTTGTAAAGTGGCCCTTTACAATTCAAAAAAAGGCTAAGAGCCTCTTTTAACTTGTGTTCCCCAGTCGTTGAATACACAAGTACATGTATGTGATCTTTTCCAGGTACATGTAAGTATAAGCTGAGTTTAATAAATTTCTTCCTATAAGATAATCATTTGCTTTTTCTCCCCATTCTGTAAAGAACATTAAGTGCATTTCATGGATAAAACAGGGTCTGGGTCTTATTCTTTCTGAACCTGTAACGTCGAATGCAACATACTGCAAACAGCTTGCTGCCTCAGATTTTTACATGTAAACAATCTTAACAGAAAATCTACCTATTCAGAAAGCATACCTTTAAAGAACTGAATAATTTATTCTAAAAAGAAATTTATTTCATGATAAAAGAAAATGCATATACAAACACAAGAAATATCAATGCTCTTAGAATCACAGAAAGGAGTATTAACATTATACCATCTGCCTCATAGAGAAAAGAGAAAAAAAAAACAAGAAACAAGTTACCTTTTTGTGCAAAGCATGAAATTCACTGTATCTCTTTTCAACAAAATGTTTTCTTCCATTCATTAGCACTTCTATCTTAAACACCTGAGGAAAAAATTTAAAAGAGTAATTATATTAGTTCAAAACCTTCAATTGTCTGATGTGGTAAGTTTGTGACCATGATATATTTCATCCCTTTAATTATAGTAGCTGATCCCCCAAAACCCAGAAGGCTCAGGAGACCCTGGCCCAACAGTATTGATTAATGAGCACTCGGACCAAAGGCTCACTAACAAAGTGCGACATTCTCCAAAAACCTGTCTAAAAACAAGGGAAACTTACATGCATTAAAAAACTACCTAATTTTTTAATAAAATAATATTTTTTGCATAAAATGATTTCACCAAGTGAACATGATAGCACTGAAAAAATACTCTTTACCAGAGTATTGCAAGAGGAGTACTCTGGTAAAAAGCTCAGGCATGTGGCATTTCACTATGGGCATTTCAATGTAGGCAGTACTGTGTCTTTACAAGACAATCAGGCAAACAGCAGAGCATTTTAGGTTAATGTCTTTCTAACCTGAATATTCATCTCTAGTCTCAGCTGGGCTTATTCTGCTGTTTGCAAAACAGGGAAAATGTAGTAAAGGCTCATTTTCCCTGCATGATACAAGTGACAGCTTGTTCTCCTAGCTCCACAAGGTTGAAAGGCCAGATGAAAAGGCTCTCTGGGTGCACTAATTAGTAGGCACTAACATGACATTTTCTTGATTCTTAGGTCAGTGGGTCAAGACTGGAAACAAGGGATGAGAAATATTGTGAAATGGTCATGAAAATACAATGTTAAGGTCGGATGGGGAGGGATGGTTGGCAGGATCTAAAGAGGAGCTGTCATTGCAAAAGTTTGTATTTGACTCCTGTTTTGCTAAGTGAGAGTTTAGAAACACTAAGATGAAGGAATATTGTTTAATTACTTAATAAGCCTAATTTTCTATTTCAATCACCCTTCTAAAAAAATACAAAACTGTAGAGATCACATGACACTAAAAAGCATTAAAAGCATTCTTACTTTTAGTCTAAAAATAAGAACTACTTAAATTTGGCATGTGAGATACAAGGTTGCACATCTTCATTATGAAAATAGATTGCTATGGCTCTATATTTCTGTCTTATATGTAAGTATGACTATTTTAGAAATCCAGAAATTATGTCATCAAACATAAAATCTGTTTGCATTTTTGTGCTTCTTTGAATCAGAAACAAAATCTTCTGCTGCATGACTCAGTTTAAGAAATCTCTTTTATTAAGTGTTAAATTTTTAACAATTTAATCAATATTTTATATTAACATTTTGTTTTTCAAGAAATACCCCTGAATAAATACTTTCCTTTGGTGAACAAATGGAAATATTTTCTTCTGAAACCATATGCATATGCTTCAAATTCTCAGAAATTCTTAGATTATTTTTTAGGAAAAATAATCTGTTTATTAATTCACCAGAGAAAATTACTCTTCTTCAAAGGTCTTGCCAGAAATAGAATCAGGAAAACACCTCAAGAAAACAAACAAGAGAAGCACAGCTTTAACGTGGGGGCTTGGTAAATAGGCTACAGAGCCCCTTTTTTACTATCAGGACAATATGTAGCAATGAAAGTAGTTTCCATCTGCTGAGCTTTATGAAATAAATGAGGTTATGTTCTGGGTCTTATTGCTTGAGGCTTTATCACAAAACCATCACCTTAATTGGCACATTAGCTACAGAATCTGTAAAACAGGGAGAAGGTTGAAAATTCGGCAAGCCTCTACCTACTTGCCCACCCCTCAAAGTGGCCCCCCTTGAAGGCCAGGGTAAGACAAATTACACAATGGCTGCTTCATGGAATGTCATCTCTTCTACTGACCAGATGGTTCCATTACCAAATTCCACAGTTACTCTTAACAAGCACTAAATTCACAGTGAGCGGTGGGGGAGGGTGGATGTACACACATCCACAGGAAAGTTTGTGATAAACTTTAATTCTTATATTTTATAACATTACAATTGAAAGAACACACAATATGCCTAATACTATCAAGACTTTGTTCTTCTAAATTCTGGGAAAATATCTTGGAAAGGAAGTTGTTCATCAGGACTTTCATGACAAAGTGAAGCAAGAAACAGAGTCAATTTAATAAATCCGGCCAGGCACAATGGCTCACGTCTGTAATCTCAGCACTTTGGGAGGCCGAGGCAGGTGGATCATGAGGTCAGGAGTTTGAGACCAGCCTGGCCAATATGGTGAAACCCCATTTCTACTAAAAATGCAAAAATTAGCTGGGTGTGGTGGCGTGCGCCTGTAGACCCAGCTGCTTGGGAGGCTAAGGCAGGAGAATCGCTTGAATCCGGGAGGCAGAGGTTGCAGTGAGCCAAGACCGTACCACTGAACTCCAGACTAGGCAACAGAGCGAGACTCTGTCTCCAAATAATAATAATAATAATAATAATAATAATAATAATAAATCCTATTTTCCTGAATACCATGCCAGGTCATTTTTGTAAAGTCTTTCCAACTTTCCTACATATGTTGTCCCTGCTGCCTGGAAATCCCTTTTCTTGCTTGACTCTGCTGGCAAACTCCTAGTAGTGATTATACACCTCGTGAGGTGACAGCTTCCAAGATGGTGCTGGGAAGGCACTCAGCACAGAATCCACCATTCATCTGTTTATTTATTCAACAGATATTTACTGAGGGCCTGCAAGCCACGGAGCCCAGGAGTTGTTCTAGACTCTGGGATTCAGCACTGAACAAGACTGACAAGAGGTCAGCCTTTATGCAGGCTGAGGAGGGCAGATCACCTGAGATCAGGAGTTCAAGACAAGCCTGGCCAACATGATGAAACCCTGTCTCTACTAAAAATACAAAAATTAGCTCGGTGTGGTGGTGCGCGCCTGTAATCCCAGCTACTTGGGAGGCTGAGGCAGGAGAATTGCTTGAGGCGAGAGGAGGTGGAGGTTGTGGTGAGCAGAGATCACCAAAAAAATAAAGAGAAAAGAAAAAAAAGAGTTGAGTGTACTGCCTCTGGAATTTCAGATTGGCTGTGGGTGGACAAGGACTGTTTTTACTCCTATTGAAAAAACAACAACAACAACAACAAACAACAAAAAACTCCCATACACTTTAAGGTGAAAACCAAGGGCACTTCTGGCCAAGATGGAGTAACAGGAAGGAGATGTAGCCTTCCACTTGAAACTGGGCAAATTAAATAAGTGTACAAAATATGTGGGAAAAATGGCTCTCAGGACATTGGACATTGGGAAATGAAGGACAGTGAGAGACAGGAAACAAACAAGGAGAGCCCTACTATTAACCTCAGCTTGCTGCCCAGAGAGAAGCTATGCAGGCCTCTGCCCAGGGAAGGGGACTCCACCCAGTAGAGCCCTGCGGTCCCCTGAGTTAAGGAAAGGGAGCTGGGAGTATGGAGAACAGGGAGCTGCACCCCAGGAGAATGCCTGCAGCTGAGGAGGTCTCCCTCAAGTATTCAGGTGAAAACCGATCGGCACGTGAGATTGGGTAAACTATCCAAGGATATGAAAAGGATTAGCGTGAGCAGGGCTCAGAGCTCACATGCAACAGGCAATGGTGCCTGTGTCCAAAAGCCGGGGCAGAAAACCTCATAATTCACGAGGCATTAGTTACAGTACCCTGAAGGTTCTTAACTCAGAAGCAGGGAAAATGAGCTGTTTCAGTCCAGTTTAACACTTCAAAGCCAGGTCTGAAGACATCAAATTGTTTCTGGGTAACTTAACCACATACCAGAACAAAGCTCAAGAATATTTTTAGGACTATAAAAATATCTAGAACCCAACAAGGTAAAATTAACAAAATGTAAATTACCAAAAATGTTGCCAGATTTCACCCCTCCAATGTACTAAGTTACACTGTTACAATAGGACTGTCTGGTCCATCCTTGTCAACATAGTCCTACTTTGGCCAATCTGGTGCATAAAATGAGAATTTTTTCTTTTTTTTTTGAGACAGAGTCTTGCTCTGTCTCCCAGGCTGGCGTGCAGTGGCGCGATCTCGGCTCACTGCAACATCTGCCTCCTGGGTTCACGCCATTCTCCTGCCTCAGCCTCCCGAGTAGCTGGGACTACAGGCACCCGCCATCACGCTCGGCTAATTTTTTGTATTTTTAGCACAGACGGGGTTTCACCGTGTTAGCCAGGATGGTCTCAATCTCCTGACCTCGTGATCCGTCCGCCTTGGCTTCTCAAAGTGCTGGGATTACAGGCGTGAGCCACCGTGCCCAGCTAAAATGAGAATTAATTGGGCATATTTTGACAAGCATGTATGGTGGCATAAGTTTCCATTCCAACTATCTCACATAAAATTATATATAAGCCTGACCTACCTGTTTATTTTTATTGTATTCATTTACTTAGTTATGTTGCTCAAGCTGGACTCAAACTCCTGGGCTCAAGTGATCTTCCCATCTCAGCTTCCCCAGTAGGTGGGATTAGAGGCCCATGCCACTGCGCCTGGCTTTGACTTGCCTGTTTGGTTTTCTATTCCTAGAGACATCTTTCCTCAGAGTTTTCCAGAAATCTCCCCTGTATAAAGTAAGGGAAGCTGCATGTAATTAAATAAATGTATTAAGGATTCCATTTAGGTTTGCTTAACAAAACAAAAATCATTCTGTTCATTTGACTAAATTTTTGCCACAGTTCTAGAGACATTAAGTCAATAGAATTCAAATTGAAAAGGAAAACAAATGCCATTACTTTAAAGGGAAGAATCTGATCCCCAAGTGTGGTTTTTATTACATGTCAGAGCCAACTTTTTTTCTTTTGTGGTAATATCTCTGAAATTATACTAGAAGCCAAGGATAAAATAGTTCAAAATATGGGTTTATACCCTAATTTTCAGGAATATATCTAATAAATAAAATAAACTTAAGCTAAGGAAGGACTTAACTTATATTCCAGGTTGAATGGTCTCTCTCTTTCAGAAGCTTATACATTACAAGGTTGATCACTTCTAAAGCAAAAAAAAAAAAAAAAAAGAAAAAGAAAAAAGGAAAAGTATTCTCTATAACAGATTGAAGATATCTAATAAATAATTC